TCGTAATGTACAATTAACTAATTTTTTTTAATTTTCTTAGATTTTTTTAATCTTTTCCTTTTTACCTTGTCTATCCAGTTCGCGTTCGTGCCACACGGCTGCGACCCTCGGTTCGACGTATAGCAAGTATAGCTATCATAGAAAAGATCAGGAAATTAATAAAAAAAAAATTAATGGTTACTTTGCTGAACTACACAAAAGCTTAAACTTACGTTAACGAAAAAACCAACATTAAAACAGAAAGCAAAAAATTAGGCAAGGCTACTACCGCTGATTTTTATACCCTTGCAGGATATTATAATTTCAGTCAGAAGTTTACAACGCAGTGAAGGAGACTTTTTCGACCCTATAAAGTACAGTGGTGCTCATAGACTTAAGCCACAAGACTTCAACCAAGAATTTAAACGAAAATTAAGAAAAGTTTTTATTTCACAGCTCCAATTATTTGTGTCACATTAGTTCTATATATCAGTGTTCCAAAGAAGAATATCCAAGTTATAAAAAAATATATTCAACGAAAAACTTTAAAAATCTGAGACCATCTCCAAAATGTCCTGCTCACATACTTAAGCCACCTGGAAGAAAATGGTTGAAAAAGTTCAAATTTGCCCAATATTCCTTATAATTTTAATCAATTTACTTTAATATTGAGTGGGATGACCTTTCTGCTTAAGAACAGCGGAGCAACGCTTTGGCATTGAACCCACAAGACGTGCGCACTGTTGAGGGGTGATTTTCATCCACTCTTCTTGCAAAATTTGCCTCAAATCGCTTTTATTTGCTGGTTTTTTTTTGGCCAACGACTTGTATAAGAATTCCCCACAAGTTACCTATAGGGTTCAAGTCGGGGCTCTGCGGTGGCGAAAAAGATCGTTAAACATGGTGACGCTTCAATTATTTGTGTTAATAATTGGAGCTTTGAAATAAAAACTTTTCTTACTTTTCGTTTAAATTCTTGGTTGAAGTCTTGTGGCTTAAGTCTATGAGCACCACTGTATATGTATTCTTGATCAGAATCAACAGCCCAGTCGATCTAGCCATGTCCATCTGTCCGTCTGTCCACTTGTCCGTTTCTACGCAAACTAGTCCCTCAGTTTTAAAACTATCTGAATGATACTTTGCATATAGTCTTCTATATACTCTCACTGCTATATTTGTCGGAACGGGCCGGATCGGACGACTATATCATATAGCTGTCATTTAAACGATCGGTAGATGTTGAGAAAATGTAAAGCTGGGAATGCAAAACTGTAACTGTCAAACTGTAAACATAATAAGGTAAAATGTAATTAAATAATATCTGCAAGGGTATACAAGGGTATACTTCGGCGTGCCGAAGTTAGCTTCTTTTCTTGTTTATTTTTGTTTCCTTTTTTATTTTAGAATATGATTTTACTGCCACTTCTGTTTTGTTCAAAAGCAAAAGCAGAATCAATTGTTCATTTCAACAAGTCGTTCGAAGTTCAAGTTGTAAAAAGCAAAAATATTTCAACTTTTGCTAAGTTGACTGCAGTTTTTTAAACACTGCTGGTGAGAGTAGTCAGAAAACTATCTGGAACGCTTCATTCATATAGCTTGTGATAGGACAATGCTTAACCCTTAAGGAGGGATAATGTTAATTCGGTGCGAAACGGCAACTTTTCAAAAAAATGTTTTGGCGAAGCGGCTAAAGTTAACTTAATGAATTAATTACCATATAATCACACCACATTTGAAAATTTTTTTTTTAATTTTTGTATTAACAAGAAAGGAAGCTAACTTCGGCACGCCGACGTTTGTATACCCTTGCAGATTGGTTTTGATGTTTATATTATAGATTTAAATGCTGAAAACACTCACAAAACAGAGTTTCATTACATTTCACCAATACTTATTATGTTTACAGTTTGACAGTTACAGTTTTACATTCCCAGCTTTATATATTTTATACATTTACCGATCGCTTCTATGGCAGCTATAAGATATAGTTGTCCGATTATTATGAAATTTATACCAAAATTCTGGAATAATAAAAAAAAGCTTATATCTCAGAGTAAATAAAAATGCGTTGAAAAACAACGAATCTATAAGTTTATTTCTATTAATTTCCCGATCGTTCCTATGGCAGCTATATCATATAGTCGTCCGATTTTCATAAAATTTTTACCAAAATTTTGAAATAATTAAAAATGGCCATATCCCAAAAATGATGCAAAAATTTTGAAAAACAGCAAAGTTATAATTTTTTTTCTATAAATTTATCGAACATTTGTATGGCAGCTATATGATATAGTCGTCCGATCCGGCCCGTTCCGACATATATAGCAGTGAGAGTATATAGAAGACTATATGCAAAGTATCATTCAGATAGCTTTAAAACTGAGGGACTAGTTTGCGTAGAAACAGACAGACGGACAGACGGACATGGCTAGATCGACTCGGCTGTTGATGCTGATCAAGAATATATATACTTTATCGGGTCGAAAACGTCTCCTTCACTGCGTTGCAAACTTCTGACTGAAATTATAATACCCTGCAAGGGTATAAAAATATTTACTGGTCTACGAGTAATACTGAATCTCCAGAGTCTCCCTTTGCTTTTCGATGTACATCTTAACTGTCCAACAAAACATCCGATAAGTGTCACATGGCGTTTTTATTTTAAAAATGGTTTCCCATTTTTTTTATCAAAATTTTAAGTCAAACCCCCGATTTTTGACTGTAGAATTAGTTAAAGAAGTTATATTTCAAATTTTAATCCAATTGGTTGGTTATTGTGTACACCGATTTTCAGGAGAGCGCTTTAAACTTTTTGATACTCATACATTGAACACTAAATTACCTCCGTTCAACTTCGTCAATTTTGTTAAGATCGATGTAAAACTTCGACACAATATTCTTAAGGTATTGAGCATTTATATTAAAAAACAACAAGAAAGGAAGCTAACTTCGGCACGCCGAAGTTTGAATACCCTTGCAGATTGGTTTAGATGTTTATATTATAGATTTAAATGCTGAAAACAGTCACAAAACAGAGTTTCATTACATTTTACCTATACTTATTATGTTTACAGTTTGACAGTTACAGTTTTACATTTCCAGTTTTACATTTTCTCTACATCTACCGATCGGTTTATATGGCAGCTATATGATATAGTTGTCCGATTTTTATGAAATTTATACCATATTTCTAGAATAATAAAAAAAGCTTATATCTCAGAGTAAATAAACATACGTTGAAAAACAACGACTCTATAATTTTTTTTCCTATTTATTTCTTGACCGTTCCTATGGCAGCTATATCATATAGTCATCCGATTTTCATATAATTTTTACCAAAATTCTGAAATAATATAAAATGGCCATATCTAAAAAATGGTGCAAAAATGTTGAAAAACAGCCAAGTTATAATTTTTTTCTACAAATATATCGAACATTTGTATGGCAGCTATATGATATAGTCGTCCGATCCGGCCCGTTCCGACATATATAGCAGTGAGAGCATATAGAAGACTATATGCAAAGTTTCATTCGGATAGCTTTAAAACTGAGGGACTAGTTTGCGTAGAAACAGACAGACAGACAGACAGACAGACAGACAGACGGACAGACGGACAGACGGACAGACAGACAGACGGACAGACGGACAGACGGACAGACGGACATGGCTAGATCGACTCGGCTGTTGATGCTGATCAAGAATATATATACTTTATAGGGTCGGAAACGTCTCCTTCACTGCGTTGCAAACTTCTGACTGAAATTATAATACCCTGCAAGGGTATAAAAAAGGAAGCTAACTTCCACACGCCGAAATTTGTATACCCTTACAGTTTGCAATTGGATCATTATGAATCGAGCAATTCTAGTTAAATTATTAGAAAATAATTTTGTTCTGATAATAATAATATAATATTAATATTATAAATTTAAATGCTGAAAACACAAAACAGAGTTGCATTACATTTTACCTATACTTATTATGTTTACAGTTCGACAGTTACCGTTTTACATTCCCAGCCTTACATTTTCTCTAAATCTACCGATTGTTCCTATGGCAGCTATAGTTGTCCAATTTTCACAAAATGTATACCAAAATTCTGAAATAATAAAAAAAGCTCATATCTCAGAGTATATGAAAATACGTTGAAAAACAACGAAGTTATAATTTTTTTCTATTAATTTCCCAATCGTTCCTATGACAGATATATAGTCGTCTGATTTTTGTAAAATAAAACCGAAATTCTGAAATAATAAAATATTGCCATATCTTAAAAATTATGAAAATATGTTGGAAAAACCCAATTTATAATATTTTTCTACAAATTTTTCGATCATTTGTATGGCAGCTATATGATATAGTCGTCCGATCCGGCCCGTTCCGAGAAATGTATGTAGCAGTGATAGTATTCAGAAGACTATATTCAAATAGCTTTAAAACAGAGGGACTAGTTTGCGTAGAAACGGACAGGTGGACAAATGGACAGACGGATATGGCTAGATCGACTCGGCTGTTGATGCTGATCAACCCCAGTCCCCTTTAGGGACTGAAGACACAAATTAAATTTTGTATTACACAATAAAAATATAGCCTTAAAAAAAACAAACGCACGCCAGATTTTTAGTGCTACGTGTTTGTATAGAAAAATGACCACCCCAATTTAAACAGACAAATATGAGTTCCAAACAGTTGCATACATTTGTCTGTACACGTTTCACACGAGTGACTCTCTGGCTCTCTCTTGATGGCCGACCACTCTATTGTATTCAATTAAAACCATTTATAAACATAATAATACATTTTTGTGGCCGTTCTTGAACTTCAGTTTATCGCTGAAAAAGTGCAGTTATTGCCTCCTTTTCTATGCAGGGAGAGACGTAAATCACACATATACACATTATTTTATACACATACAAACAATTGCGTGAAAAATTTTCAATGTGTACTCATATGTACATATAAACATTTATATATGGATATTGGTCAGCGATAACAAAAACTTGGAAAGGAAGAAACATACCTATTGTACATATGTACGTATCTCTGATATTTATTTGGGTATTTATTTATATTTTATACACATACAGGAAATTCTATTTTTATGGGAAGTTCTGTTATGTTGGTTTTATGTTGCAATACAATTTCGCACATCTTTCGTTTGTTTTTAAATGATTCCGATTATTATTCACATCCAAGTTGAACATAATGAGCTTTGGTATTTATTTGTTTTAACTTTCGCATAGAAAACCGAAAAAATTTGAAGAGTTCAAGGTAGATTGTTTTAGTATGTGGGCTAGCAGCTACGTGGTTCGGATGTCGAGAAGGAACTGAGCAACTGAGCAGCTGATCAGCAAATCCAAGAGCGTATTGTGTGTACTTTGTAAACGAAGTGAGAGCGAATTCCTAAGAGCCAATTTTAGGGCGCATGTTCACAGGCTACAGCCTATTTTACAATAAATAAAATATAAGATACATATATACATATACATACACGTGTTTTAAATTTAATTTTTTCTGGAAATTCCCATATGCTAAAACACATGTTAATTAAATTATATTGTTATAGTAATATGTAAACTAACTATTATTAACTATTATTTGTTTTAGTTTCTTCCACTTACTATTTACAGTACCGTTCGCGGTCCTAAAACATGTCTTTTTGTCATTACTTGAAATGCAGTCGGTTTAAACGTTAAAACGGACGGACAGACGGACACGGCTAGATCCTTTATTGGGTCTGAATGGTCTTCTTCGCTGCGTTGCAAACTTCTGACTGAAATTATAATACTCTGCTAGGGTATACAAATTGTCTGTGCTTTTGGTATGACGACAAAATTATTGCGATATGAATATTGTACCGTTCACCAGCGTAAGTAGAACATAGTAAAAAATATTTATTTTATATTACTTTTTATTGCTCACTTTACATAGATGCTCAAAAACAATAATAAAAAACATCAAGTGCTACTAACAAAAAATATAAGCAGAACCAGCCAATTACCAGAACTATTAAGAGGTGGCTTCACTGTGACTGAGAATGCGGTGTGCGAAATATTCATATGTAACACAGCAACACAAAAGTAAACTTTGTGAAATTTCCACGAACCATTTCAAGTTTTCCATGATATTTGGGTGCTCCTGAGTAAAAGTCCCATACAAAATTATTTTCCATCACCTACAGGTTCCGCGGTATACCTAAGAATACAAAAAACCGATGTTTGCCGACATTTTGAATTACGTGGGATATATAATCGGACTTACCTTTATTATTTTCGGTGGGACGTACTCTCAATACATCACGGCACTACTAAAAAATAGTCCCAATCGTGGACCATTGCCCATGTCTTTGGAATTCGACGCCAAAGTTGAAACTCCCAAAATTTTCAACATTTCTGTGATGAAAAAACAATTCTGAGAATTAAATCTTATATGGAACTAATTTTAAATATTCATTGAATCTATTGTTCATTGTATTCTTTAATTTCGGTTTAAAGCGTTTTCATGAGGACATTTTATTGGATTTATTAAACGAATAAAACCCCTTTTTTGGTTTGATTATCTACTACTATTTTCTGTCAAAATTCAAATAAGTCAAGGCAACCTATAGAATGCGAGTAAAAAATCTAATTTTATATTATATATAAAACAAGAAAGGAAGCTAACTTCGGCACGCCGAAGTTTGTATACCCTTGCAGATTGGTTTTGAGGTTTATATTATAGATTAAAATGCTGAAAACACTCACAAAACAGAGTTTCATTACATGTTACCTATACTTATTATGTTTACAGTTTGACAATTACAGTTTTACATTCCCAGTTTTACATTTTCTCTACATCTACCGATCGGTTTATATGGCAGCTATATGATATAGTTGTCCGATTTTTATGAAATTTATACCATAATTCTAAAATAATAATAAAACCTTATATCTCAGAGTAGATAAACATACGTTGAAAAACAACGAAACTATAATTTTTTTTCCTATTTATTTCTCGACCGTTCCTATGGCAGCTATATCATATAGTCGTCCGATTTTCATACAATTTTTACCAAAATTCTGAAATAATATAAAATGGCCATACCTAAAAAATGGTGCAAAAATGTTGAAAAACAGCAAAGTTATAATTTTTTTTCTACAAATATATCGAACATTTGTATGGCAGCTATATGATATAGTCGTCCGATCCGACCAGTTCCGACATATATAGCAGTGAGAGCATATAGAAGACTATATGCAAAGTTTCATTCAGATAGCTTTAAAACTGAGGGACTAGTTTGCGTAGAAACAGACAGACGGACAGACAGACAGACAGACAGACGGACAGACGGACAGACGGACAGACGGACAGACGGACAGACAGACAGACAGACAGACGGACAGACGGACATGGCTAGATCGACTCGGCTGTTGATGCTGATCAAGAATATATATACTTTATAGGGTCGGAAACGTCTCCTTCACTGCGTTGCAAACTTCTGACTGAAATTATAATACCCTGCAAGGGTATAAAAAGATACATATTTACTCGCATTCTATAGGTTGCCTTGACTTATTTGAATTTTGACAGAAAATAGTAGTAGATAATCAAACCAAAAAAGGGGTTTTATTCGTTTAATAAATCCAATAAAATGTCCTCATGAAAACGCTTTAAACCGAAATTAAAGAATACAATGAACAATAGATTCAATGAATATTTAAAATTAGTTCCATATATGATTTAATTCTCAGAATTGTATTTTCATCACAGAAATGTTGAAAATTTTGGGAGTTTCAACTTTGGCGTCGAATTCCAAAGACATGGGCTATGGTCCACGATTGGGACTATTTTTTAGTAGTGCCGTGATGTATTGAGAGTACGTCCCACCGAAAATAATAAAGGTAAGTCCGATTATATAGGCCACGTAATTCAAAATGTCGGCAAACATAGGTTTTTTGTATTCTTAGGTCTACCGCGGAACCTGTAGGTGATGGAAAATAATTTTGTATGGGACTTTTACTCAGGAGCATCCAAATATCATGGAAAACTTGAAATGGTTCGTGGAAATTTTTGGCTGTGTACCTGTGTAATTGGCGAAAAAGCAAATTTTGAGTTCGCCAGTACTAATACACAAATGGAAACAGTCTCCAAATGCCTCCAAATGGGCTCAAAAAATTTACAATTTTGCTTGCGATGAAAATGTTAATATCGATGTACTGAAACAGCATATGAGAAATTCTCTGTTGTAAAACGCGACATTTTTAGAAAAGAATCCGAGAAAGGAAGCTATCTTCGGCACGCCGAAGTTTGTATACCCTTGGTCAAGTTAATAGAAAAAATAAAAAGAAATTATAAAAAGTGTATTTTTGTACATAATTTGGTTTTGATAAAATTTTTATACTCGCAGCTTCAAATTTTGTTGTTCATCTTCCGATCGTTTCTATGGCAGATATATGGTATAGCCGTTCGATTTTTATAAAATTAAAATCGAAATTCTAAAATAATAAAAATGGCTATATCTAAAAAATGATGAAAATTTTTTGAAAAACAGCTTAATTATAATTTATTTTCTAAAACATTGTCGAACATGTGTATGGCAGCTCCGACATATGTATATATAGCATTGGGACTATTCAAAAGATAGCTTTATAAATGAGGGAAATGGACATACGATCGGACCGACGGACATGACTAGATCGACTCGGCTGTTAATGCTGATCAAGAATATATACTTCTCCTTCACTGCGTTGCAAACTTCTGATGCAATTATTATACCCTGAAACAAAATAAAATCATGTGCAAACACTTTATTTTAATTTTACAAAATTTGAAAGTCATGAATCGTGGCTAACACTGTAATGTAATCAATTTTTATGTATTATTTATATTGTTTTAGAATATGCTAGATACTTTCAAATTTGATCATTTCTGAATAAAATTGCTTTCGTAACTATAATATTTTTTTGTTGAAAAATAATGCATTCCTTGTTATTTTTATTTGTTTTACAATTATAGTTATGCTTTAATTAAATGCCATTCAATTATTCGAACAAAAAATACAATTTTTAAATAAATTAATTAATGGTTTTTATTAAATGAAATAACTTTTATTAATGAAATAATTTACAAAACTTCGCAATTTTCAAGGCGAAGTCAAACAAGACTTCCGTTTTTGTACTGTTCGCGATGAAGTATTTTTAAAAATAAACGACAAGTCCGTAATACTTTATTTTTAAAATGCAAGTAGTCCTGGCAAAGTGCATTAATTGTGAAAAACAAAACTTTAAAAAATGCTATCTTGTCATATTTTTGAACTTTATGGCGTACGAATGTTCCGATCGCCATCCTGAAAATGTCCATATACTTATTTGGTTTTGTTAAAATTTCAAAGACTAAAAACAGCCGTAAAAAACTGTATTTTAAAATATCTAATATAATAAATGAATATATATGCTGAACAAAGAAAATTAATAATAATCATTACATTTATCTATATTTACATATACTTTTTACAGTTTTACATTCAGCTTTTCATTTTTATCTACATCTACCGATCATTCCTATGGCAGCTTTATGATATAGGCAACCGATTTTCATAAAATTGAAATAAAAATTCGAATATAATAAAAAATTGCCTTACCTCGAAGAAGAAGATAAAAAAAGTTGAAAAATAAAAAAGTTTTAATTGTTTTTTTAATTTCCGATTGTTTTTGAGGCAACTTATGATATAGTCATCCGATCCGGCTTATATAGCAGAGAGACGAGTCAAAAGACTATCTGCAAAGTTTCATTCAGATAGCTACAAAACTGAGGGACTAGTTGAACTTGTGTAGAAACGGACAGGCGGAGCGACGGACATGGCTAAATCGACTCGGCTGTTGATGATGATCAAGAATATGTGCACGGGTATGAAAACGCGTCGAAATTCGCCTTTCCAAAAAGCAAAATATTTGACCCTTTGTTTGTTTGTCGTTTTGTATGAAACTTCAGATTTAAAGTCAGTTGGAATAAGATATATTTAAAAAAGAAACAGCACAAACAGCAAAAAAAATATATATATTAAAGAAAATAAAATACAAATACCCTCCCCCGTTGAACAAATTATGTATATTTGTTCAATCTTTATTTAAAGTTTGTAGGCAATTGGAATTTTAATTTTTCTCTAAATCTACCGATTGTTCCCGTGGTAGTTATGGTAGCGTCTCAATTTCATAAAATTAAAAAACTTCTGAATTATTTTATTGCCCTGCAATAAAATAACAATAATACATATTAAACATTCTAAAACAAACATTGGCCAAATGTTTTACAGTACTTATCATTAGCACTTACTTGACATTATTCTTAGATACATACCACACTCATATATCTTTATAAAATGCTTACCAAATGCTGCAAAACGAAGCTTAGGATGGCATCTCCGACACCAAAAAGCATATATATTCTTAATCAGCACTAGCTGAGTCGACTAAACATGTCTATTTGTCCGTCCGTGTAAAACCACAGGTCAGATTATTGGCGCTACTGAATTTGATGACAAAATTCATATCTGTTGCACAGATATCGAGTTTCATTTTACGATCACTTCCATCCTCAAAAATCATAATATAAGGTATATGAAGTATATTCAAATAAATTGCGGCTTACAGTAAAATGATACAGAAAATTAAGACCTGTTCGGCGGCAAAATCGGATAATAAATATTGAAGTGCTTGTGTATGTTGACCTCCTGCAACATTTGCACCTGTAGCTGCAGTACCAACATTTGTCTTTATTTGTGTGTTGCACAACATTCGCCTTATTTTATCAACATTTGCTTCTGACATCCGCACTGTTTAATTTAAGTGTTTCATAAATTAGATCATAAATAAAAAATTATTTTATCGGTACCGGGTTCTCATTTTTGATTATACTTGTAAATTATTTAATTCAGACACAAAAGTATTCTAGGATTAGGAATTAGGGGCGTACCTTTGTTCTACAACCTCTTTCTATTTTTAGGTAAGAGATATGTAAATTCGATTTATTATTTTTTTGACGTTATTTTTGGATTTCAGAGTGCACCTTATAACTAAGTATAAACCTAAACCCAAGGTGAATAAAAGCAAGAGGCGAAAAACTGTTGCTTTCCAGAGGGTACGTTTCCCCCAGAAACAGGGGCTGTCACCACCCCCACATTGGCATTGGAGGAAGACGAAGCTGCAGCTGCTGCATAGTTGTAGCTCATATATGGAGACACAGTCGGTGAAATTGAGTCCGTGGCAAAGACTGAAGTATGGCCAATACCCAGGTGATTGGAGTTGGATCCACAGGATGGCGAGTGACGGGATTCCATCGTAGAAGGGTGATGATGATGATGGGCAGAGGTACCAGCGGCGGCGGCGGCTGTAGTGCTGGACGAGGGAGAGCTTCCGGAGAAATTCAAAGATGATCCACTGCTCGAACATGGAATCGGCGGTGGTGGTGGCAAAGCATAGGCAGATAGTGCCTCGTATCCCCCCGATGATCCACTACAGTTTCCTCTAGAATCTATGTGGGAGTTACCATCATTCGTAACCAGATGGTGATGTGGCGGCGGTCGTAGGTTCATATGACAAGGATACAGTGAAGGAGGCGTAAGATCGCCCCCCTGTTGGGATATTGGCGATATTGGTGGTGCAAGCGAAGAGCCAACAACAGAGGGATGATTAAAGCTGGGCACGGGTCCAATTGATCTGAAGGTTTGATTGATTTTAAAAGTTTTACTTTGAATATACCAGTACTTAACTATTTTTTTTTGTATTTATCTATAAACGGGTATTTGGGGTATTTGCAAGTAAATACTAAAATAAAACTAAAAATAAAGACGCTCACCCATAGGTATCGCTCATGGACAAAGCAGTTGCATGGTGCATATTGGAGTACATGGCACTCATGGAGCCCCCAAAGTTTCCACTGCTCAAGTTCAGTCGTGGCGATATGGTAGGAACCAGTGCTTGGGCATGGGCATGTACAAGAGGAGAAATGTTGTTCTGGTGATGTTGCTGGCCGGAAATTTCAAGAGGACATGGTGAACACGTATCGCCACCACCTCCTCTGCAGTCTTCATTGCTGCGCCCTTGAGTATTGTCAGCAGAGCTTGCACTAGATCTATGATGTAAATTAGTGGGCGTTGGGGTATCCGTACTCTCAGGTACTCCTGGAGCAGCGCTGCAGGCCAAGATATTTGGCGAAGATAAGCCCGGGGCACCTCCTGCCACTGATCCTCCTCCTCCTAGCAGAGAAGAACAAGCACTCAAGCTATTGGGACTATCTGTTATGGATGCGGTTGCTGAAGTGGACGATGAGGCGCCACTGGCCCCTGTTGAATTTGGTGTTCTTCGCTGATTACGAAGCTTCTCTTCGCGACGCCATTTGGCACGACGATTAGAGAACCAAACCTGTATTCTGGCCTCCGGTAATCCAATCTTTCCCGCCAAGCGCTCACGTGCAAAGACATCGGGGTAATGGGTGCGTTCAAACTCTGAAAATAATATGCGAATTAACAAAAGAGGTTTCATTTGTGTTAATAAATTATAACTTGTACCGAAGCCCTTATTGTATTCTTATCTTTGTTAGCCTTAATTAAGAACTAGCCATTACTTCTCACTACGAGGGTTGGCCTATTCAAAAGCTTCTGAATTGGATGAGAAAGCTTTAGAATGATCGTCACTTTGAGAGAGTAAGTTTCGGGAGAGAGGACTTCGTGAGAGGGGACTTTGGACTTTTCTAAGCGTGGGACTGAAAGGACTTCATGGTTAGTCACAGAAGGGTGCTTTGTTTAGTCTAGCTCATTGGTCTAGCTGATTGAGGGCAGTTGTTTATGTCTAGTGACAAAGCATGGGATAGCAAGAATTGCAAGGTAAGCATTCTAAGAGGGTTGTTTATGTTAATCCGATAGGACTGGGAACCCAATTGGAGTTACGGCTTGAAAGAAAGTAGCCTGAGTCAGGTTGGGAAAGTTGCTTATAATATAGAATAAAACTGGAAATGTGGCTCATAGCTTGCAAATAAGATAAATTACACAGCTCGAGAAAATTCAAACTTTTCTACCCGGAGACAAAAGGCGAGTGATACTGAAAGATCATGGTCAGTATATTGTTAATTCGAAAACGAAAAGTTTCCATCACGTACCAATTTTGAGAAAATCGCGGTCAAAGTATGAGAAACTTCTTGTTTTGGCCCTTTTCAAAGCTTTATAAAACGCTAACTGTGCGTATACCAGAAATAATATTAAGAATAAGAGAAAGCTTAATCTTTCTACTGTAATATCTCATAGGAACTGCCAATGACGGACCTCAAGTTCGTTCGTTATATAACATTTCCGAACGTCATTTTACTCAATATTTTTATACCCTTGCAGGGTATTATAATTTCAGTCAGAAGTTTGCAACGCAGTGAAGGAGACGTTTCCGACCCTATAAAGTATATATATTCTTGATCAGCATTAACAGCCGAGTCGATCTAGCCATGTCCGTCTGTCCGTTTCTACGCAAACTCTTCCCTCAGTTTTAAAGCTATCTGAATGAAACTTTGCATATAGTCTTCTATATACTCTCACTGCTATATATGTCGGAACGGGCCGGATCGGACGACTATATCATATAGCTGCCATACAAATGTTCGATAAATTTTTAGAAAAAAAATTATAACTTGGCTGTTTTTCAATATTATTGAATCATTTTTGAGATATAGACATTTTATATTATTCCAGACCTTTGGTAAAAATTTTATGAAAATCGGACCACTATATCTTATAGCTGCCATAGGAACGATCGGAAAATTAATCGAAAAAAATTATAACTTCGTTGTTTTTCAACGTATTTTAATCTACTTTGAGGCATGAGCTTCTGGTATTATTTCAGAAAATGTTATGAAACTCTGTTTAGTGTCTGTTTTCGGCATTATAATTTATAATATAAATATGAAAACCAATCTGCAAGGGTATACAAACTTCGGCGTGCCGAAGTTAGCTTCCTTTCTTGTTTATTTTGTAGTCCTGGAAATAAAAAAAAGGTGTCTCAGATGTAAAATTGAATAAATTTCAAAAACATATTTTTTAAAACGTATAAAATAACCTTTTAAGTTTAAAATATCTAATATAAAAAATATATTTAAGACAAAAAAAACTTATTCAGGTCTGCTCCGGTAATCGAAAACGTCAAGATTTTTTCGATTTGAAAACTAGAAATTGGTGCTCCGGTAATCGAAAACGAAAGATTTTTTCGATTTGAAAAACGGCACCTTTTTCTAGCCGGAATGAAAAGTAAATGGCTTTTTTATATAAAATTAGATCTAATTTACAACAGGAAAAAAATAATTTACTCAGTGGTCTATTGATGTTGATTCCACACCACCATAAGATTATTCTGGCAGGTAGTTATTTTATAAAAAATTTATTTCTGACCCCTCCTCAGATTTGACAACAAAATTTTTGCCGTGTTCAACCAGTTTTCTCGTTTGGCGATAAGCCGATAAGTTCCCCGCAAAAAGTTATCGCCAAGGTTGCCATATTGTTGGTGGAACGAAACAGTCAGTTAAAAATATTTATAGAATATAAATGAATACATTAATAACTTTAAAGGACCGCCAAAATGGTTGTTTATAAACAATGCTATTAAATGTGATTACTTAATTAACCAAATAATTATTTGAGACCACCGGAATTAAAACTGTGAAAAGTGTGGCAGCATCTTCGATGCCTAGATTTTCTTAACTTCAACATTTTTTGCCTTTTTCTGGCCTAGAAAAAGAGCTATTGTAAATATAAAAGGCAGTACTTTACGTTGTTTGCTACCAAAAACACAAGTTATAGGGTCTTCCCACACACCGTCAAAGCGCATTCACCGTCCGTTGAACTAACTGCCCATAAGGTTTTGCCGTTCCGAATTTATATATATATCGAACAATTCTGTTGTTATCGAATCAAACGCAACTTGGACGCAACCTTTTTCCACCAATGCTATTGTATATAATCTATTATATAAAAATAAGTCGAGTTTTCTGCGGGGATCAATTAACTCCAGAACGCACGAACCGATTTCCACGGTTTTGCATTCGTTGGAAAGGTCTCGGAATTTGTGATTTTATGCAGTAAAGAAAATTCAGGAAAAATTGCAACAGAAAGCGGGAAAATCATTTTTGCATAAAGCGCAAACACTCCCACATAGCATGCCATAATGCGTTACTCAGTTGATTTTATGACAAATCGAAATTGTGTTTCATTTGGAGTAAAATAAGTTATTCGTTTCATATCAGCATTTGTATTTAGGGTGGTAAGTTGAACTGTGTAAATTATGTGGATTAGAGGTTAAATTAACCGCTCTGCCTATAGTCCAAAATGCCTAGAGCACGACGTGTGAACATCGTTCTCCGCAGAAGGCATGCAATCCAGCAACAAGGGTATTCACAGAACTTAAGCGAGGAAAGACGAAATGCAAGAAGAGAATATGACCGATTAAGACGACGCGTGAGCACACGAAGATCATTGGCATCATACAATCGCTTGGCATTTCAATATGATCCCTCTGCGAACTACAGAGATGATAGAAAATTAGATATTGGAACTATGACGACTATATGCCGATATTGCAATGCGTTAAAGTTTAAAAGGGAAACTGCTGGATTGTGCTGCGCAAGTGGAAAAGTCAAACTGGATCCATTACTTACACCACCACAGTCACTGAAAGCATTGTTCGATGGAAGTGATCCAGATTCCAGCCATTTTCTTCAACACATCCTTGAATATAATAACTGCTTTCGCATGACTTCCTTTGGAGCTAATATCATTCGAGAAGGCGGCTTCATGCCGACTTGCAAGGTAAAAGTTACAATCACTTAGACAAACAAAAAGAATTGCAACATAATAACAACATATACTCTACGGACTACACCATCACACGATTCTTCAACAAATGATTGTTTGCAATTACAGATACAAGGGCAAATATATCATTTGCATGGTTCATTGGTGCCAACAACAGAGGAACCGCATCAATTTCTGCAAATATATTTCATTTCGTCGATGGTGGATCAGCTGAATGTGCGGTGCAACATTTAGGGAACACGACGCATGAACCGATTTCCACGGTTTTGCATTCGTTGGAAAGGTCTTTGAATTCGTTATATAAGCAGTAAAGAAAATTCAGGAAAAATTGCAACAGAAAATCGGGAAAGTCATTTTTGCATAAAGGCCATCACTGATACATAGCATGCCTTAATTCTCTACTCAGTTTATTTTATGAAACAAAACAAAACAAAACAAATTTTGTGAAATTGTGAAGAATCAGTAAAAAAATAAGTTATTCATTCTCAGCTATTGCCGGACTGTCTTCGTCCCCGATTTTAATAAATTTAATATTGGGCACTTTCGAATGGCTTACTAATACAAATTGTGCATCTGAGCCTTGGGAATTTGGTGCTTTTCAGGGAAGCTTAGTGTCCTCTTCTTCTTCCTCATATATTTCAGCGTCTTTTTCAAGAATAATTGCAACAGAAAAGGTGGTGAGTGTAATGTATAAATTATGTGGATTAGAGGTTAAATTAACCGCTCTGCCTATAGTCCTTGATTAAGACCAGAATTTCCCGGATAGGACAGAATTACTATCCAATCGGGACCAGCGGTGGAAATATTCTCAGCTATTGCCGGCCTGTCTTTGTCCCCGATTTTAATTAACTTATTGGGCACTTTCGAATGGTTTAGTAAAACAAATGGTGCATCTGAGCCTTGGGAATTTGTAGCATTTGAGGCAAGCTTAGTGTCCTCTTTTTCGGAATTTTTCAAGAATAATTGCAACAGAAAAGGTGGTGAGTTGAACTATGTAAATTATGCGGATTTGAGGTTAAATTAACCACTCTGCCTATAGGCCCATATCATATACATAACTCCAGAACGCACCAACCGATTTCCATGGTTTTGCAAAAAAAAAAAGTTATTCGTTTCCTAACATTTCAATTGGAAACCAGCATTTGTCTTTAAGCTGGTAAGTTGAACTGTGAAAATTTTGTGGATTTGAGGTTAAATTAACCACTTTGCATATAGTTCAAAATGCCTAGAGCACGACGTTTGAACATCGGTCTCCTCACAAGGCATGCATGCCAGCAACAAGTGTGTTCACAGAACTTAAGCGAGGAGAGACGAAATGTAGTAAGGGAAAATGCCCGATTCAGACAACGCGTGAGCACACGAAGATCAACTGGTGTGCAGCATCTAAGAGGATCCCAACCAGCGTGGCAGGCTCCTAACAGCAGCCTTCCTCGACATAGCCATCGACCTCAGGACAAATTTCAAGAATCCTGAGATAGAGTGCTAGAAAATATTCGTTATCCGAAGGTGTCGCGGGTGAGACCGTGCCCCCGGTGTTGCCCATATCCGTTTTGTCCACTGGAGGGTCCCAACAGTTGTCCTCTCAGAGCCCCAGCTCCCTACCAGGGTGTCAGGCCCGGACTACCGTCCGAAATTGGTAAGGCGGATAATCAGCTTACCTTGAAAAATCCCCCTTATGGCAATACCACCAACGAGACAGTTTCATCTTTCCTCCATTGTCGGAACTTCCTATTTATTGAAACCATCTTTCCGCTATTCAGTTAATCTATAAAAGACTTTCGGATAGGGACCACTTAGTTAGTAGTTCTTGGTGATTTTAACATCCCAGAGGCTATTTGGTCCCTAGATAATTCCATTAACCACAATACACCACAAAAAATGTGGTTTACCAAAGAACACTTCAATTAAACGGATAATTTGTCGAAAGTGGCGTAACGGAGTTCGCCTGGCTTACTAGTATAATATAATAACAAGAAAGGAAGCTAACTTCGGCACGCCGAAGTTTGTATACCCTTGCAGATTGGTTTCGATGTTTATATTATAGATTTAAATGCTGAAAACACTCACAAAAAGGAGTTTCATTACATTTTACCTATACTAATTATGTTTACAGTTTGACAGTTACAGTTTTACATTCCCAGCTTTATATATTTTATACATTTACCGATCGCTTCTATGGCAGCTATAAGATATAGTTGTCCGATTATTATGAAATTTATACCAAAATTCTGGAATAATAAAAAAAGCTTATATCTCAGAGTAAATAAAAATGCGTTAAAAAACAACGAACGTTCCTATGGCAGCTATAAGATATAGTCGTCCGATTTTCATAAAATTTTTACCAAAATTCTGGAATAATATCAAATGGCCATATCCCAAAAATGAATTTTTCTAAAAATTTATCGAACATTTGTATGGCAGCTATATGATATAGTCAACCGATCCGGCCCGTTCCGACATTTATAGCTGTGAGAGTATATAGAAGACTATATGCAAAGTTTCATTCAGATAGCTTTAAAACTGAGGGACTAGTTGGCGTAGAAACGGACAGACGGACAGTTTTTTAATACGGTTTAAAAACAATGTTTTTCACATTTTTGCCAAACCAAATATATTTATACATATATGAATGTGTGTTATCTTTATATCTTTTAGCATTCGTAATTGCAGACTTGAGGTCATAGCCAGCTTCGATTTTATTAAAATCAAAGGGTCGGTTTTAGCTAAAAACAACAAAAAGAACTTGTCAATAGACAAGTAGCAGCTGTGGTGACGATCGTTTCGTTGGCGCTACCCAACTCATCAGACCACTTGCTAACTATTGCTAATTTTCTTGGTACTTTACCTTCAATCTTAGCTTAGACCCGTTGGGAATCGTAAGCTTCGATGTAAAGGCAAAAGCAAACCCTGAAAATCGGCAATAGTTCTTTTTGTTGTTTTTAACCAGTCGTTTGGCATGCAAGTCTCTCAGACTTGCCATAAGCCAAGCTTTAAAGCTTTTACGTATCTATCTTTTAGCTTTCTTTCTTGTTATTATATAGCACGAGCCTCTATTATTTCAGGGGTTACCTGCCAAACCATAGTATGAAAAACGCCAAACCTTTTTCTAATTTTACATGGCTTTCATATAAATTTACCATTCGCTTCTAAAATGGAATAACTATTTTAGTAAAAACATTATTTTAAAAGTATAAAACATAAATATATCTCTGGATCCTATACATGATATGTACATTATATATTTACATCTATTTTAGCAATTTTTCCTTTGGCTGCAGTATTTAATATAGTCAGTATACCTTTGTTTCCTTTGGGTATAAAAATATAGCCCTATGATATATATAATTTTAAATATTACATAATGTTTACAGCATCGAAAACTAGCTGCAGATAATAGAAAATTTGTCTTGCCAAAGCTTGTTTCTTACCTTTCTCCAGACTATCTATTTGGTCGTTCGTAAATGATGTCCTATTGCGTTGTAACTTCCTTTTTAGTATCAGTCGAGCTTGATCATCCTCATTGTTGTTTTCTATGTTTGAGGCGCCACCATTAGAGTTATCTTCTTCATTGGATCCCGTTTCATCTGTTTGATGGCCATCAAGCTCTTTCGATAAATGAATCGGAACCAAAACAAATTTGTTTATACTATTGCACATATTAAAAGTTTAAATGCATTATAAATATATTTAGTATATATCGTATTTTTGTGTTATAGTTCACTTCGAAAAATAAAATTGCCTAGGCATTACTTATGTGCTGGCTTAAGCAAAAGGTGTGTGTGTGCATGTGCGAGTGTATTACGTTGCGGTCTCGAGTGTACTTGACGTTGAATTTTAGTGAATGTGACAGCGCCAAATAGGCGCTGATGGCAAAAATACACGTCTCAGCCGCGGGATAAACCCTGTTCTCCTGTATCTGTGTATCTTTATCTCTCTTCAAAGCACATGTCAACTAGGGTTGCCGGACTGCAATGTTCTGACAGCCTACAGTAATAGCAAGAGTTACAACTAAGCGTCACAATGACAGACGCCGCAGTCAGAGATCCGGGCGGCAAAAAACAAGGGCGAATTCTAGTTAGAAGAAATCTGAGAAAAGGTGGTGAGAGGATGTGGTAGCAGACCTAAAATTGTGGGACAGTGCACAGTGTTTAATAATACAATAGTTAAGAATAATAATAATTGCTAAGAGAAAAGAAGTTTATCTTCGGAAACATTTTATCATTTAAATTTAATTTGGTCACAAATATTTTTGACGGTTGGTTTAAGGGATCTTTAAAATAATAATATATAATTAAATTAGAAAACTATATTTTGATTGAATATTGATGTGGAAATATTTATTCGATTTCTTATTTTAAAACCAAGTTAAATCACTGTTCGTTGCGTTAAAAGCAAAAACTAATAGACTAGAGAGATATTTCTCAGAGAGATGAGGACTGTGAAAACATAGAACTCTTATAAATATGTATATTTTTAATCTATTTATGCACCCCCACAATCGTCACCAGAGCAGAGTTCAACCCCCCAACCTACTTAAAATCTAAATCCCAACCATATAAAACCCATCGGTCTTTACCACAACCACCCTCACAACGGTTTGTCGTTTAATGAAGTGTCATCGCCTGTAAAATGAGTCTGTAAATCGCATTAAAACCAACTACACGGGCTAAGGGTAAACCTGTCAACCACGGTACAGTGGTAACATCAGTGGTTGTCCATTGCCCCAAGTCTCTTAGAAGTGGGAGGCCTACTTATAAAGAGATGTAGTCAAAATATAACACGAACAACTTTCCCACACAATTTCTGCTTTTGTGGTTCCAAAACTTTTTAGATCGAAATCTTGAAATTCAGACTTTAATGAAGCGTCGTTTTTAAATAAATGCACATAATATTTATTAATATTTATTATTTTTTCTAAAATTTCATATTCAAGAAGTCCGAAAAAAAATGAAATGAATGTTTAATAATCCAATATCAAACTGCAACGGTCCCAAAGTTAACTCCCTTATAAAATTTTAAAATTTGTCATTCAATGTAAAGATAATCATTTTAACTAAAATTAGAATTGGGTTTTCGTTGCGATTCCTAGTTATTTTTCCCCGCCATGTTCCTTTTTTTATTTAATCTGTAAGTCTGAGAGTACGTTTGATTCAATCAAGTTGGTCACGTGCCCATCGCATTTACGCACGTTTAGTCGAAAACATTTTTTTATAACTTATAAAAATAAGAGCTGGAAACAACACAAGAGCAAAATTTGCAAATTCTTTTCTTCCCAATATTTTAATTCGTTCGTGCGTGCACATATCGAGCAAAATACCAATTCGGGTAGACACCGTTTTTCGCTTTATTATTCTTTTTAGCGAAATAGAATTGAAAAGAAACATTACACACGGAATTGATTAATTCAAATGAATATATCCTTCTCCACGTTTCATATGGGTACGGGTATTAAAAATTAAAAATTAAAAAATAGAGCTGGTACCCAACCTGTTATTATCAAAACAAGGTTCATAAAATTTGTTATATAAAATGTTATTTAAAAATGTGTTGTCGCAAATTAGCTGGTGTTCTATGAAAACCAACATTTATACAGTTTTCTTGAAGAAGAAATGATTTGCGATGTACACTGTGACATTTCACGGAACCATCAGCTAAGAAAAAATTGAAACTGTTGATTAAGTTAAGTTAATTATTTAAGTTAAGTTAATTTGTTATGTTAAGTTAATTTGTTAAATAAAAAAATTTAATAAAAAAAAACCGGAAAACGACGCAAATAAATGTAGAATTCGTGGAAGAAGAGCTGTGCCAAATTTCAAACGATTGTTTCAGTAGATTTTGAATTATCATTTTTTTAAATTAAGCGTCTTAGGAGGGCGCTTTATACCTATAACTTCGACTCAATATTCTTATTATATTTTTAATTTACAAAAATTAATCAATTACATCCAAATTTATATGCCCTTAAATACCGCATGGGTAAAATGATCATATAAAAATGTATATTCTAAATTAAAAAGCAAAATTATATCTGAGTTACGGTTTATCATGATTTGTGGAAAGAGATAGAGATAAAGTGATCTGTTGTATATACATATGTATTAATATAGTACACCAGGCAGGGTACACCACATATGATGAATTCAAATTTTGATTTTATCCAAACGTGAATCTATGAACTAATGAAATTGAAGGACCATCTGTACCTTTTTTTAAATGAATATCCTCTGTTGCGGGCACTGGGCAGTTTCTTATATGCGAAGTAATGTCGTTGGGTGTACTCAACGGCTCCGGGATGACTGTTGTTGATCGTGATCCGGCCGTAGTATAGGCTAAGCTTGAGGGCGAAGTAATGGCTGTTTCGTTGCCACTGGCTAGTGAGCTGGGAAACCAAGATCCTGCTGAAGAATAGTGTCTTGCAGGCCAGCTCTGTTGGTGTTGTGGTTGATGATGCACCTGCACTTGGTTATGATGATGAAAGTGGCTGCTTGGCGCTTGATCCATGGCTGAAGATGAAGGTGGAGCAATGACTGCAGGATCCAAAGATGATCCAGTTGCCTGCTGCTGGGTGTTTAACAGGCGCAACTTCTCATAGATGGACTCCTGTTCACTTCCCTCACCCGAATTACTGGCTCTGCCGCTTTCCGATGAATTTAAGGGCGTTGAAGTCTGTATCAGATCCGTGACATTGCTGATATTACTATTTACTTTTGTGCTTTGCCCGGAGCTACTGTTGTTTGTGGAGTTACTTGATCCAGAGCTTTGTTGCTCTTTTTGTGCTGCTAAATTCCGAAGGACGCGGTTTATTGATGAAACCTATTTATATATATACAGAAAAGATTTGTATACCCTTGCAGGGTATTATAATTTTAGTCAGAAGTATGAAACGCAGTGAAAGAGTCATTTCCGACCCTATAAAGTATTTATATTCTTGGTCAGCTAAAACAGCCGTTTCGTCTTGCCATATTCAGACGAGCATGAATATATTTTCTGTCTACTCCCACTAGTGTATAAGTCGGAACGGTCCGGTTCATATAGCTGTCATAGGAACAATCAGGAATCTGTTAGAAAAAAACTTTACTGTTTTTCATCATACAAAGGAATTGAAAACTATTTACACAACGAGCTACTACTACTTACTAGTCGTTCCATTGACTAGAATTGAGTTTATTAAGCAATGCCCCAAATAAAGAGCTATCTTTTCTTTTTATTACATTTACATATTACATTACTTTGTTTGTTTTTTCAGCATATACATATATTTATATTGCAAGCTGCAAGGGTATACAAACTGCGACGTGACGAAGTTACCTTCTTTTCTTGTCCAATTTAAGATGAAATACAAAAACTTTCTGTTTTACTGTAATATTTTATTATATATCCTTTAGCGTTGGATATTAACAATTTATTATTTTAAAGATATGATTTGCCTGCGCTTGACATTGCTTTTCAAACAAAAATTCAAAAGAAAATATAAAGAGACCAAAAGAAATGTATAAATGAACGAGAGAGTGAGAAAGGAAGAACAACAGGAGCAAAAGTGCAGTTGAGTGGAAAAATTAGGCAGAAAGAATGTCCTTACCCGGGGGTTCAAACTCATTTTAGGAAATAAAAAATGAGCTCCGTCCTTCGTCGTATATACAGAATTTCAATAACGATTTTACACGTCGAACCACTATTAAAACCTAAATATTCAGAACGACAACAAGTAGCAATTTCAGGAACTATTTGACTTAAACGACAACTATTGAATGCCTAAACATTTCCGTTAAAACCTGCTTCCTTTGCCTTCTCTTCTCACCCCAAAGAAAATGTAAGTACGAGAATTTTTAGGGCTCGAAACGTGATTTAGCAAAGCCGTTTCCCCCTAACACTGACGCGTGAATTTCAACGCTCAACGCTTAACGGTTTGTGGTGGCGGCCCTTGGCGGGGCCGTATTTATTTAATATTGTATTTTTTCCATACAATTTTTGCAAGCACTGATTTCCCTTTTCTGTCGCTTAATGTGCATAAAAGATTTTCCCTTCCATTTGAATGAGCACATTTTCCACACAACTGTCAATGAGAGAAAAAAAAATTATAAGGCAAGCGGCCGCTAGGCAGGACAACGGTCGGCGGCCATCGGCTGGAGAATAGGCTGTCACAATTCATTTGGCTTGCTCTTTTTTTTTTTTTTTTTTTGCATATTTTATGTATAGTATAGAATAATATACACATACATATATAAATAAAACGGTAAAAAGCAAATGACGCTTTTATATTATATATATATATATATTATTTATTATATTTATTTATTTTTTGTTCAGCATGTACATGTACATTTATAATATATAATATAAAATATAAAAAATGTATATATATATATATATATATATATATATATATATACATGCTGAACAAAAAATAAGTAATTACATATTCCAATAATTAACCTATTCACAGCTTTTCATTTTTCTCTACATCTACTGATCGTTCCAAGAACTCGTCCAATTTCCATAAAAATCAAATGCTCATAACACAGAGTAGATGTAAATATTTAGAAAAACAAACCCGAAATTCTTAATCAATAAACAAGAAAGTAAGCTAACTTTGCCAGCCAAAGTTTGTATACCCTTGCAGATTAAAATTAAAATATATCATAACTAAGCCAACAATGCATTAATTTCGATTCGGAAAGCAGTTTTGTGTTAGTTTTTCTTAATTTAAAAAAACTGCATACCAAATTTAAAATTTTAAGAAATCGAATTTTTGGCCATTTTTGCTCATTTTAATGATAACCCTATCAAATTTTGCAAAAATGGCCAAAAAAAATGGATTTCTTCCTGACATATCTAGAAAGATTCGCATGTTAATGCTGATCAAGAATATATATGGTTTATGGGGTCGAAAATGATTCCTTGACTTAGAAAAATATTATTTTGTATTATAAAATCTGATTTTTATACCCTTGCAGGGTATTATAATTTCAGTCAGAAGTTTGCAACGCAGTGAAGGAGACATTTCCGACCCTATAAAAAATATATATTCTTGATCAGCATCAACAGCCGAGTCGATCTAGCCATGTCCGTCTGTCCGTCTATCCGTCTGTCCGCCTATCCGTCTGTCCGTCTATCCGTCTGTCCGTCTGTCTGTCTGTCTGTCTGTCTGTCTGTCCGTCTGTCTGTTTCTACGCAAACTAGTCCCTCAGTTTTAAAGCTATCTGAATGAAACTTTGCATATAGTCTTCTATATGCTCTCACTGCTATGTATGTCGGAACGGGCCGGATCGGACGACTATATCATATAGCTACCATACAAATGTTCGATATATTTGTAGAAAAAAAATTATAACTTTGCTGTTTTTCAACATTTTTGCACCATTTTTTAGATATGGCCATTTTATATTATTTCAGAATTTTGGTAAAAAATTTTATGAAAATCGGACGACAATATGATATAGCTGCCATAGGAACGGTCGAGAAATAAATAGGAAAAAAAATTATAGTTTCGTTGTTTTTCAACGTATGTTTATCTACTCTGAGATATAAGCTTTTTTTATTATTCTAGAATTATGGTATAAATTTCATAAAAATCGGACAACTATATCATATAGCTGCCATATAAATCGATCGGTAGATGTAGAGAAAATGTAAAACTGGGAATGTAAAACTGTAACTGTCGAACTGTAAACATAATAAGTATAGGTAACATGTAATGAAACTCTGTTTTGTGAGTGTTTTCAGCATTTAAATCTATAATATAAACATCGAAACCAATCTGCAAGGGTATACAAACTTCGGCGTGCCGAAGTTAGCTTCCTTTCTTGTTTATATTAAAAAACTTCTTGATTTTTTTAAAATTAAAAATATCATAACTCGGCCAAAAGAGCATTAATTTTAAATCGGAAAACTGTTCTGTGCAAGATTTTCTACAGTTAATAAATCTGCATACTTCATTTAAAAATTTTGAAAGTTCAATTTTTTATCAAAATCAAAAATTTTAAAAAATTATAAAATTTTGCAAAAATGGCCAAAAAATCGATCTTTGCCTGACATATCTAGAAAGATTCCCCTGTTGATGCTGATCAAGAATATATATACTTTATAGGGTCGGAAACGTCTCCTTCACCGCGTTGCAAACTTCTGAATGAAATTATAATACCCTGCAAGGGTATACAAATGGCCATGCTTAAAGTATACGAAAATATGTTGGAATGTTTATGTTATATATTTTTCAAATGATATACTATTATTCAGAAAACTATTTGCTAAGTATTATACAGATAGCTTCAAAACTGTATTGCGTAGAAACGGACAGATGGACGGACCGACAGACAGGGCTAGATCAAGCTACTGTTGATGCTCAAGGATATATGTACATATACTCCTTATGGGGCTGGATATGAATTCGTTGCTTTGCAAACTTCTGAATCAATTTATAATACCTTGTAATGGTTGAATAATTTCCAAATTTAAACTATGTACTTAATTTTCCGCTAATATAGTGCAAAATATTTAGGCCTTTAAATTCTAGTAGTAATTATAAACTAGTTAGTAAAGTTATAATTAATTTGTTATATACTGCTATATAAACATGATAATCTATCTGTAACATTTTATGCAGCTTACACTCATAAAAATATTTTTCAAGGTTTAAGAAAAATCGCCCTAAAACTAAGAAAATGTTTGTAATTATTCAAATTAAATTATTTAAATAAAATGTCCATAAACTTGGGGCAAGGCACCATCAAATCAAGGCAATTTACCTATTTTCCTTAGCTAAACGGTGCCTTTTCTGATTTGCCCCGTTCGGTTTTATTCTTAATATACGCGCTAATTGCCCTTGTTTTGAATCCGAATTCACGCTTAAATTGGGGGACAAATGCCGACGCGTGCACATATGATTCCTAGCTTGTTGTAACATCCTTGGCATGGAAGGACGGGGGTCCGCCAACTCTTAGTAAGAGCAAGTCTCCTCTGCAACACCAAGAGTGTTAGCAATAATGATAATATTGTTTTTATAATTATTTAATTAATAATATTAAATTGTTAATAAACAGTTATTGTTTATTAACAATTATTACAACAAAAAGAATATTATTATTGCTCATTTACAAATGCTGTAAAAACAAAAAAAAAACATACAATTTCCCTCACTTACGAAAAAATGCACCCTAATTTTAGAAAGTTTTTCCTCGAAACAAGACATTTTTTTACATTCAAGAAAAATTGTCCTTTATTTAAGTAAGAGTCTCTTCTGATTATAGTAAAATTATAAGTAAACACATGTACATGTGTAGTTTTAACATAGACGCAGACCTATTATCATAATTATTTTTAAGGATATTTCCATTTTTCAGGGGGATCCATGTCAAATTGATTTATGTTTTGTACCCTTGTTGAAGTTAGCTTCTTTCAAAAACGAGAACAACGGGTAAATATTTGCTGATATATTACTAATGTAAACTAAGTATTATTTAAAGTGTGTTTACAATATTTTACACATACACAGAAAATATAGGGTTAAGCTACTTTATATTTAGTAACAACATCAGATCATACTCACACTTGGTATATTATCATTCGTACAAACGTTCTCCTGCAGCAATCTATCACGAATTTCCCAAGCAAAAATACTCGGACATTCGCGTTTATATTGGGAAATTTTACTAACAACTTCGGCGGTGGCCACTCGTGGCTTTGACCCGCCAATAGCCCGTGGTCGTATGCTTCCGGTTTCATAGTATCTATAACAAAACGGAAATAATTTAAGCCAGAAATGCAAACCAAACACTATACATATATATATATATATATATATATATGTACGTTTTGGCATTATAAAACTAAACAATTAGTTATCATCAAGTTTTATGATCCTACCTGCCTAGAATTTTGCTCACACATCCATTTGAGACTTGCAGAATACGCGAAATATCACATGGCCTTGCTCCTGAATGGGCCAATTCCACGATTTTTTGTCGCGTTGAATCTGGCAGTGGCCGGCCGCCAACAAAGACGCCGCCCAGCTGATTAACTCCACTGTGACCTACAGAAGAAATACACAAGATATTTAAACAATGAGTAAAATAGAAGCGTGAACAATTTAATTTATTGATTTATAAGTAGCTCCAAATATTATTATTGCTACAAAAACCATCTCCTGAGCGACCTACTGTGTACATAATGGCAATAAGGCATATCATTTGATTTGTCACGTTTTTAAAGAAATCCAAATACAATACTTTTATCGACCTAAGCCCCTCAAGCATATAGTAATGCGTTTAGAGTAAAGTGAGGAAAAAACTCAATAAGGGAAACTATTTTGTGTAGTTTTTCGAATACATTGGAAGGCAATGTAAGTAAGTTTTGGCTTGTATGATGTAAGCAAAATATTTTTTAGAAACTTGAAGTTTTATTATATTTTTAATGGTTTTATAAGATATTTAATTTTTAAAACTTTTAAAAAATTGATTAAAAACTATTTTTTATTTAATATTTTATTATGTATATTATAATCGTATTTTATACATCTTTAAGTTTGTAACAGAAAATATTGGCAGAAAAACCTACTAATACTGAATTATTAAAATATTAAATATTAAAATAAATAATTTATTTCCAGTAAATTAATTATATAATCTATTTTATACATAAAAATAATATTAATTTATTTTAACCGACAAAATCATTAAGTATTGTCCAATGAAATCATAATATTGGTAACATAAATGGTGAGCAAATGTTTATTTTAATTACCATTAAATAAATGCATACTATAAGTTGTTTGTTATGCCTTTTAATGAACATATATTTTTTACACTGTATTATTCTAACATACGAAGGAAGAGCACAAAAAGAACGCCTGAAAAGGGCTAAAAAGAGGAAGGAGGATACTTGGAGCTCTATTCTGAGTATGAGAGAAAAGAGAATGTTGTTAAGGGTTTCAAACGATTTTCCAAGTATCGAAGGAGACTTATTGAAATAAAATCCCAAAATCTGCGTATCAATTTACTGCTTTTATTGGTGAAGAAATCAGCGAAGCATCGTCAAATGTATCTGCCTTTTGACAAGGGGCTAATCCCTCCGAGTCTAGTGACTTTTTTCAGAAAGGAATGCGTACGAGAGAATAGATAACTGATAAAGACAGCAAGGGACAACAATGTTTGGTATTTTTATCTGAAATACAGTTGTTATGTTATTTCGGAGTATTTTAATTACCTTTGATAAGAATTTTGTAAAAATATACAAGCGACTCAAATGGTTTAAATAGTGTTCAGTTGATATATACATACATAGATAAGTACATTTATAATTGGATCATAATTCACCCTCAATACCAATTAAATGGATTAGATAGCTGAAATTTAGCAATGCTTGAAAATAAATATTCAAATGACTTCAATAAGAATATTACGAATATATCGCTTATTAATTAAATTATATGAAGTTCAAATAAAAGTCTAGCAATTCAATTTTAAATTTCATCAGTTTGTAGTTTAATTGCAGTTATCACTGGGAACGGCCGTCCACATAGTGTAATTTGTTTAATCTAAATTTAAAATCGCGTCTAACGACATCTTAATACGACGATCTGTTCAAAAGATCATCAATAAACAAGAATTGGTCGATGTTTTAAGATGCTGGGACCTTTTATGGAATAGCTTTGTTTTTTTTGATTTTGACCTGAAATGTAAAAACCCTTAAAGGGGTCAATTCTGACCCGTCATTAACAAGCCGAGACTCTACTCTAAGAAAGGATTATTTTTTATTATTTTAGAATTTTGGATGAAGGTCTATGAAAATCGACTGTTTCAGAGAAGATCAAAATATATTGAAATACCTATAATTTCCTTGTCTGCTAAATTATATAGTCGTCCAATCAGACCGGTTCCGACCTATATATGTTCAAGTAAAAATAGTTAGAAAACTATCTCAAAAGATTTATTCGGATAGCTTAAAAACTGAGGACTTGTTTGCTTAAAAACTGACAAACGGACATGGCTAGATGCTGATCAAGAATAAATATACTTTACAAGGTTGAACATGACTCCTTTACTACGTTGCTGACTTCTGACTGAAATTATAATACCCTTTAATTCTTCTCTCTCTATTATTATTACGTTACTACAAATGATTTGTTCAGATGACTTTTAGCAGAAGGTGTTGTCACTATTATCTCTCATCGATAGAGGTGTTTTCATTTTTAATTGCACATATTTTCCATAGATCTCCACGAACTACGCAAAAATAGATTGAATTAACTAAAACCATTTTCAAACTTTTGTAACAAGAAAAAAAATCCATAAACATATATACAGGGATTAATAATGTAATTGCCACACAAATCACTTTGGCAAATGGAAAACAAAAGTTTTTTTTGCTGTAAAGTAACTGCTGGACCCTCCTAAGGGTCTCAATCGTTTTTGCGGGGCCTGCCCTGCACTGCAAGGGATCAGGAACTATATAGGGGTGGGACTCCTCTAGGTACAAAGAACCAACACATCTCTTGGCCGTCGCTAAAGAGGCTCATTTTGGCATTTGTTGAGTGCATTGTGTGTGTTTTGTATTTTGTGTATTTATTCGACTTCATCTCTCAATGCCAATAATTGTTACTATTTGTAACGACATGACACGAAAGCGGTAGGGTCGCCGTCAGTCCGTCGACATACACACACTTCAAGATCATTATTGAAAGGTGGAAAATGATTGTATTGATTTACAACAATAGTGCAGACGCAGACTACTTAACAGCTCGGAGAGTATTTATTGAAAAATGGAACTCCGGGTTTTAAGGGAAACTGGTAGCAGCTACTCGTGATCATCATGGTCTTAAAAGTCGCTTGCCGAAACAAACGATCTGTTTTTCACATTGTGTTAATAATAATTGGCAGCATATGTGCGCGATTTTGAGTACTACTAAACCATTCTTATTCCCCCTACCGATCATCTATTGAGCTGTATATTGTGTCAAGACATGTTGGGCTAAGTATATTCACACCATTGAAGAATTGGCATAAAGGAATTTGGTTTTTCATTAAGAATTGTTGCTGAGATGTCTCAATTTGCTGTTTTTTCGGTCTGTCCTTATTTAGGGAAATTTACCCGAATTACTATCTCCACATTTTTAATAGACATAGTTAAAAGTATTTTCAACCTCGGGTTCTCTCTGAAAAGAATATTCTACTTTAAATTGATTATGTTTTTCGCAAATGATAATTTAAATATTTGTATTTTTCCCTTGAATCATTGTTTAGCCGGTACTAAGATAAGATAAATCCCCTTTAAACATTTTTCCAGCGGATTTGCTATATATTCAGACCAAAGAAATTAAAGTACTGGAATGAAAAGCGATCACACTGACATGTATTTCCAGGTTTTTTGTAAACAAGCTACATATTTATAATGAAATTAAGATGTACTCGAAGGTATTGGATGAGGAATTTTATTCATTAATCTATTCGCTGATGTGATGCCGAAGGAAAATAACCGGAGGGTATTTTCGTATTTAAAATGTCTTTTTGAACTAAATATTATATAATAGACCTTATCATTACGACATTTATTATCATAATCTTTTCCAGCATTTATCTTATGTTAGTATCCGAGAAAAAAAGCCTTCAGAAAGATCTTTCTCCCTTCGCTGAAATTTTTTTATGGAGTTTTGCGATACGAGAATATTATACCCTTGCAGGGTATTATAATTTCAGTCAAAAGTTTGTAACGCAGTGAAGGAGACCTTTCCGACCCTATAAAGTATATATATTCTTGATCAGCATCAACAGCCGAGTCGATCTAGCCATGTCCGTCTGTCCGTCTGTCTGTCTGTCTGTCTGTCTGTCTGTCTGTCTGTCTGTTTCTACGCAAACTAGTTCCTCAGTTTTGAAGCTATCTGAATGAAACTTTGCATATAGTCTTCTATATACTCTCGGATCGGACGACTATATCATATAGCTGCCATACAAATGTTCGATACATTTTTAGAAAAAAAATTATAACTTGGCTGTTTTTCAAAATTTTCGCATTATTTTTGGGATATGGCCATTTTATATTATTTCAGAATTTTGGTAAACATTTTATGAAAATCGGACGACTATATCTTATAGCTGCCATATAAACGATCGGTAAATGTAGAGAAAATGTAAAGCTGGGAATGTAAAACTGTAACTGTCAAACTGTAAACATAATAAGTATAGGTAAAATGTAATGAAACTCTGTTTTGTGTGAGTTTTCAACATTTAAATGTATAATATAAATATCAAACCAATCTGCAAGGGTATAAAAACTTCGGTGTGCCGAAGTTAGCTTCCTTTCTTGTTTTATCTTATCTTAGTACTTGACTTTAATGAAAACATATATTTTCTTTTAATAGTTAAAGAACGTAAAGGAAGCTATGAAATAACAGTAGGACAGAATTCCTTACAAAATCTATTTAGGCAGAAACACATTCCTCAACAATATTCCTGTCAGATCCTGAAAATGATTAATTTGTGGAAGTGGATATGGAGATAAGATGTATGGGGAAACGTACATTCATCATCTGTTAAATGGTAGTAAGTTGTGGCAAAGTACGATGACGTGGAATGGGGCTGTGGCGCTGTTACGGTCGCTTCAACTGATTCCATAGTCGTTGATGTCTTCCCAGGAATACCGCCCAGTCCGCTGATGCCATTAGCGGCATCCAAACAGGGTAGATTTCTCATTGCAATCATATTGTCTATATAGAGAAAAAAGAGAGAGCAAAAGAGCGTAGGCGGAAAATATATATGGTATCAACAGGTCAACTATTTGTAAAATACCTAAGACTTAAGTACGTCTGGAATAAAGTAAATCTTTTTTTCGGTATATGTGAACCAGCAAAGTTTGACTAACAATTTGAATATTGCATTGAGAAAAACAGATAGAGCTTTTTGCACACTGTGATTACTGATCGTTCGCCAAATCTGTCCCCCTTAAAAATCGAAACAAGAATAACCCGAATTTTTATTTATTTATATTAAATACCTAATACTAGTTTGGATAATCACATATGTGTACATATTTTAACAATATAATACTGAGTTCCATAATTATACCCTTGCAGGGTATTATAATTTCAGTCAGAAGTTTGCAACGCAGTGAAGGAGACATTTCCGGCCCTATAAAGTATATATATTCTTGATCAGCATCAATAGCCGAGTCGATCTAGCCATGTCCGTCTGTCCGTCTGTCCGTCTGTCCGTCTGTCCGTCCGTCTGTCCGTTTCTACGCAAACTAGTCCCTCAGTTTTAAAGCTATCTGAATGAAACTTTGCATATAGTCTTCTATATACTCTCACTGCTATATATGTCGGAACGGGCCGGATCGGACGACTATAGCATATAGCTGCCATACAAATGTTCGATAAATTTTTGGAAAAAAAATTATAACTTGGCTGTTTTTCAATATTATTCCACCATTTTTGGGATATAGCCTTTTTTTTTATTATTCCAGAATTTTGGTAAAAATTTTATGAAAATCGGACCACTATATCTTATAGCTGCCATAGGAACGATCGGGAAATTAATCGAGCAAAATTATAACTTCGTTGTTTTTCAACGTATTTTAATCTACTTTGACACATGAGCTTCTGGTATTATTTCAAAATTTTGGTATACATTTTATGAAAATCGGACGACTATATCTTATAGCTGCAATAGGAACGATAGGGAAAGTAATAGAAAAAATTATAACTTCGTTGTTTTTTAACATATTTTCATCTACTCTGAGATATGAGCTTTATTTATTATTATAGATATTTGGTATAAATTTCATAAAAATCGGACAACTTTATCTTATAGCTGTCGTAGAAGCGATCGGTAAATGTATAAAATATATAAAGCTGGGAATGTAAAACTGTAACTGTCAAACTGTAAACATAATAAGTATAGGTAAAATGTTATGAAACTCTGTTTAGTGTCTGTTTTCGGCATTAAACCAATCTGCAAGGGTATACAAACTTCGGCGTGCCGAAGTTAGCTTCCTTTCTTGTTTTATAATGAAATAATAATAGTGTAACGATTGAAATTTTCAACGTTTGATTTAATTTGGCTGCCAGACGCAATAAGGACAAGATTGACGTAGTTAGTGAAATGTTTGCATTTTTTAGCTTGCTTACCTTTGTGCGCCATATCCTCCAAGGTCGGCAGGCGCTCTATTGACCAAGGCGGCACTACAGTTCCTATGGCCGTCGGGGTGGGTTGTAAAGTAAACATAACTAAGTCTGCGCTAAGTCACCAACTAAACTTCGCCTTTTCCAGCCTATTAAAGCGTTGACCAACCGATATGGATATTGGTGTTTCTTGTTTCCCTAGAAAAGGCTTCGCTCCTTCTTCCGGGACCTTTTACTGCTAGATTTCGTACTGCCTGCTGGGAGAACCCTGGGTAGCGAGGCAAACCTTAAATTGAATGCAAAACGCAAATATGTGTGCAGATGGTGTCGACGACGGTATTGACGATCAGAAATCCATTGTTTTGCGAGTAATAAAGAAGTCCCAAGGTATGCAGTCACTTTATCACATGTTCTATTGATTCTTGTTTAACACTTTTTATCATTTTTACAAGTATTATCTGTATGCATTTTTTTCACATATACGTAATTACTTAATATATTTTTTTCCTGCTGCGATATGAAAGAAGTTATGTATGTATATATCTCATGTATTCCAGCGATCGCGGCGATTCACAGGACACAACGACGGCGACGGAGAAACTGTCATTTATTTAGAGTAAGCGAGCAATAAGAATTTTACGGACATAGCCTGCCTGCGCCACGGTGCTGACTAGGCCGACCCTTCGAATGCCATCCATGGGAATCATGGCATTATTATTGTTGTTGTTACAAAGCGGCCTGTGATTGGCTAAGCCTTGGGTACTGGCCAAAGCACCACCATTTGCCACAGGAAAGCGCTCTGGTTGGCTGGCTGTTGGCCACAACAGTTGTCGCACTCGCACTCGCACTTGCCTCCATGTACGTTAAAAATAAAGGTAGAAGAGTACACAGAATATTGCAGTTCTTTTTTTGCATTGAAAGAAAAAAAAGAAATCACTTTGAAACAAATAAAATAAAATAAAGGCCGAAACAGCCACACCAAACTCACATCAGTGTTTATACATTTTATGATTAAGACATAAGGTAAAAGATGGATTTGGGTTTCCTACTTTACGGTCAATAAGTTGCCCTAGTCTTCTTTAAAGCCTTAAATTAATTTTAATTAAAGTGTTTCCGCATAATCAAGAGGCTAGTCACTATCCAATAGAATTGTTTTATTCCGATACGCAATAACGCGATCTTACATTTCCGGTTTCCGTTAACTACCCGCAGCGTTTCCGCTGTGAAACGAGTGCCACTTACACCTACACAGAATGCGTGGGCGTAACGTTGCAAATGTTAAGCGCAAAATGTCGACAAGCCCAAACACGAACGGTTACACCCACATGTGGAGGTCCAGAAGGTTTCGTCCTGCTTTGAGTCCACCCAATCATCTATGCTGCGTCCTGAATGTTCGAAAGGGATGGCATATGAGGGGCGTACGTACGTTTTTTATGCAAAGCAATGCTTTGCAGGAATTCTTCATCAAAAAACCTACAAACACAAGCAGGCGGGCGACAATATATCTAAAGATAATATGCACAAAAATATCAGCCAGTATTTGTATATCGGGCAATATTTCAATTTTCAAAATATAAAATAATGATTTTCGATTGAGGTAACTATAGAACCACAATATTCTTAACAATATTATACAATTTTAATAATAATAAAATAATTAGGGATTACATATGTATAATCTTCGATTTAAAATAGTAATCTATAAATGCGGTAGCTACGAACAAGCATATATTTAAATCATGTAAGTCACATATGTACCTGGATACATATATTATTTGATACAATTCATTTTCTGATCGTTCCAATGGAGCTACAAAGTCGTCCGAGTTTTATTTTATTTTGTCTTGATCTGCTCCATCTGTCCGTCCGTCTGTCCGCTTCTGCTCTATATGTATGAAACTTTGCAGATAGCCTTCTGAACGACTTACTAGTAAATAAGTCGGAAAGAGCCAGATCTTACCATATACCATATTTGAACGCAATTTATCTTTGCTTTGCTTTTTAATTTATTTTCATCTACTTCAAGGTATAGCCATTTTTTAATTTATCAAAATCGACTATACACTCATAAAATTTTTTACTTTAAATCGCCTTAAAAAAGCCACTTTTCGCCCGTAATTAAAGAAAGAAATTGAACGAAGCAAATCAGAAAACCTTGCCCTACATTTATTTATTTATGGTGGCTTTTCTTAATTTTACGGTGCCTACCTTAAATTCAAACACACTTTTTTCGTAATTCTAGAAAATTTTTCTTAGTTTAAGGGCGATTTTTTTTAAAGGCGATTTTCCTAAAATGCAAAAAAATAATTTTATGAGTGTATCGACGGCTATATCAAAAAGCTGCCATATGAACGAAGTTATTTGAAATATGGACATTTTTATTATTCAAAAGTTTCTGTTATAATTTTATGCAAATCGGTTGACTATAGCACAAAACGGCTATCGGAATGATCGGTATGTGTATGTGAAGAACAGTCTAAAACATTAAATCTAAAACTGTAACTGTAAAACTGATATTATTTCTTTTTTTTCAACAAATACGTATAAATCTAGAGATACTGTAATTTTATAAAATTTGTAAAACAATGTTTTAAATTGTATAGAACAAATCGATGTTTTTACATAAGACGTAAGGTTTTAACATCCCCCGCAATTTCTTATTTGATCCAATCCAAAAAAACCAGGGTATAGAAAGATCGGCGGGCCGACTTGCTTACTTAAGTAATCAAACGCAGTAATTGTTATATATATGTTATATTATGTATGTACAAGAACTATTACAAAGTTAATTAATTTAATAAATATATTTCGAAAATAAATCAAATTGAATAATTAAAATAGCATATAGTATTTACAATTTTATTGTGCGTAATCTCAACGATACTTGTATCATATTTAAGAAATATTAATATGCACAGATTACACATCTCTTTTATTAGCAAAAATGTTGTGTGCCAGGATGAAAAGAAGTTCCTTTGCAGGAAATTAAAACAGTGCGTCCTGCAATCATCATATTATGTTCGCACTAGTGCCGAAGCTGCTACAAAGCTGAGGCCGTATCGCAAGCTATCCGCCACGTGCCACGTGCCAAGCGGCTGCCGTTGCGCTGGTGGAAGAGCACTGCAAAATGTTTCGCTACGCCAACAGCTGCATACAGAATAAATAAAGCGAAATCTTCGGATCTATAAGAAGCACTTTTGTAGCCCTTGGACTACAAAATACATTAAACTAGCTTGTACGATACGCTACTGATTACTTATATAGTTTTATATTAACTATATATTTAAACTAATGTTTAATAATAATAATATATATATATTATTATATATATATATATATATATATATATATATATATATTCTTGATCAGCATCAACAGCCAAGTCGATATAGCCATGTCCGTCTGTTCGAAGATAAATTTTTTTTCTTTTAAAAATTTGTCGATCATTTCTGTGGGGCTAAATAATAATAATAATAAATAGTAATGATAATAATAATAAATAATAATAATAAGAATAGTCAAATTTGAAGCTCCTACAATATTCACAGTAAGTTAATTTCTTAAAAATATATACTTTATAACTCGTTTAACGATATATGGATTGGAAAAGGCGGCGGTCTTATCTTCCTTATTTCAAACTTATTTCGTTGCTTGTTTCTCCCTTGAAGAATAAGTATTTTGGCGATATAGCAGGCCAATTGCCAAAGCCATTTCTAACTTCTTCTTTCCCCTAAAATATTTCCATTGCGCTGTGTGAAGTCTTGTGGACTGGCGATAAGAAGAAAGGACGACGCTTTTTTATATATCAGCAGGCACAACAGCCGCAGTAACTGGTGCACCAAGTGTACAGCCTAGCTGAGATGAATGGGTGTAGCCACATCTGGAATTGAGACTTTTCTATATCTTAAATCTTTATAGGGAGGTATTCGTAAGGGGAGTGCAGTTCTGGTGGTGAGGCGTTTAATCCCATGATGTTTAACGCTTAAATGCTTTGATGTTTTCCATAAAAAGTGTAGTTTGCTGAGGTTTAAAATTGTAAATATTAGGCACTTTAGTCATATCAGTTAGTCTTTAGACTAAAGCTTCCATGATAATTAAACCTGCATTAAAATAAGTGGCTTTAGCTAAACTTATTTAGTTTCAGAGTTGAATTATGGCTGCCAAATTTTCTCTCTTGTCTAATATAATACCTACAATGCTTAAATTTATAGGGTTAAGTTTATATAAAGTCATAAAACAAAGAGTTGTAGCAAGTGATTCCAATAGTTCCCGTTAATTCATTAAAAAAAGGTTTTAATTAGTTGATACTTAGCATATTTTTATGATTAAAAACAAGATGAGTATATTGCTAGTAATTCTTTCAGAGCGCAGCATGGTCTCTTTTAATTACGGATGGATGTCACCCTTTTCAAGTATGAAAACCGTGTTACCTCTTTACCTCTTCCCTTACTATTTCCCTTCGTAAAACGACGTTTAGGGTGTTGTCGCTTGCTTTTTATATCCTTTAACGGAGTATTGCAATTTAGTTGGAAGTTTGCCCCGTAATTAAGGTATATGAATTATAATTATGCGATATATAAATTTATTCAACTTCTCAGAAGAGTCTTTGTTACTTTTAAACTAACTATACATTTTAAGTATACATTTTTTAATTTATAAAAATCGTAAAAAAATAAACAAGAAAATAAGAAGAATTTATAACTATAACTTGTATGTGTGTTTCCTTACATTCAGTAAATTTTGGCTGGGTATTTAAAAGTCGGTTAGCTTTTTATCTTGCCAAGTCATCAAAGACAGCAGGAACTCTCCTGCAGACTTACGTAGGTGGTCTTCTCTAAGCTGGTCGATGGCTGGGAGGTGCGTCCACGGTATGGCTCAAAATAATTGAAGCATATCATCAGTGGATGTGGGATGCCTCTCTTTTCAGATGAAGGGCCGCAAGTCCCCCGTGGACACACCACACATCTCTTCTCAGTGTGTCTGCTTCCCCTTTTCCCCAAAAAGGATTTCCCTGTTTTTGTTTATATTTGGTTGGCTAGCAAAATGCTCGGCTGGCTGGACCTGGTCATCGGTGGTCGGTGAGGCAGTCGGTGCGGTGCTTTAATTGTTTAATGGCTCGTTATTTAAATTCCCTTGAGGGGCGTAAGGTGGCAACTGTGACAACTGTTTCTCAAGTGCGATAATTGTTACGTTTTATTATGGATTAGCCGGATTCCGCCTGTAAATTATACTGAGTTATTATTCTTATTGCCATATTGGAGAAAAATTAAGTTTAAGTTCTGTAGTAGAGAATTCTTACCAAACTTACTTACCCCTTGTACAAGTCGGGGATGCAATGAGCTTAAAAATGTACTCATATATTTCTATTTATATTGATACTGATATTTATCAGAATAATTTTTGTTCAATATTTTATGTTTGTGTATATATGTATATATTTTGTATATGTATAGATTCTGTCAAATTTGATCAATTGAAAACCCCTTTTTAATATACATAACTACAATTAAAAAAAAATATTTTTGCGAACTATTTTTTGGCCGCGGTCGACCTTTCTGGGGAAA